AACGACACAATTCCCAGAACAAATCCCTATTGTTAAGCAGCCCATGACTGAAATAGCTAGATGGGTTGACTGATATATTGGAATGTTAGAATGTCAGTGGTAGAATGTTTTCCACTTAATTAAGTTAAGGATGTGACCGTGGGTGTGGACTGCTTAACAAGAGTGGGAAATGGTAGTCTCAGGAATTGAACATGGTTAAATTCACACAAAAGATGGGGTAGAAAACAAGTCTCAGTTGGATGTTGAAAATTAGTAGATGTCAGTGTTTGAATTGTGGGAGCCTCAAAGGAAAAATGATTTATTTCTACTGTATTTTTTAATTCTATACTTTTAATGTAGTGTTGGTCCAGAGTTTGTTGAATTTCTTTTTATTGGACCAATTTTGGTAAGCCTGGTAGGTTGACAATGGCTAAGCCAGTCCTAAAGCTGAGAGGTGTAGAAATGGGCTCGGCAACACCAGCTCTCCTGTAGACACAGAGGCTTTGATCTGATTGTATACATAAAGGTAACTACAACCAAGGGGGAAAGCACTGGCTCTTCATCTTGCTTTATAAGTGTATAGGCAAGTCCTTAAAAGGTCTTTTCATTAGTTTTTGTTTTTATTAGTTTCAGGTGTACAAAACAATGTAATAGTTAGACATTTACACCCCTCACAAAGTGATAACCCCCCTCCTCCAATCTACTACCCCTCTGACATCGTATGTAGCTATTACAATTCCACTGACTCTATTCCCTATGCTGTACTCCACATCCTGTAGTGAGGGGAAATATATATATATATACACATATATATGTATATATATATGTGTGTATATATATATATATATATATATATATATATAGTTGACATTCAGTATTATTCAGCTTCAGGTGTACAATGCAGTGGTCAGGCATCTACACAGTCCAAGAAGTGATCTCCCTAATAAGACAAGTACCCATCTGACACCCTACAAAATCCTTACAACATTATTGATTATATTCCCCAAACTATCTTTCATATCCCTGTGGCAATATTGTAGCTACTAATTTGTACTTTCTAATCCCTTTACCTTCTCCCCCATCCCCAACTCCTTCCCATCTAGCAACCATCAGTTTCTTCTCTATATCTCTAAGACTATTTTGTTTAGTTTGCTCATTTATTCTGTTCTTTAGATTCCACATATAGGTGAGATCATATGGTATTTGTCTTTCTCCATCTGACTTATTTCACTTAGCATAATATTCTCTAGGTCAATCCATGTCATTGCAAATGGTTAAGATTTCATTCTTCTTTATGGCTGAGTTAATGCTCCATCGTATACATGTACCTTAATTTCTTAATCCATTCATCTACCAATGGGCATTTCGGTTGTTTCCAAGTCTTGGCTATTGTAAATAGCACTGCAATAAACCTAGGGGTGCATATATTTTTTCAAATTAGTGTTTTGGATTTCTCTGGATAGATACCCAAGAGTGGAATTGCTAGGTCATAAGGTAGTTCCATTTGTAATTTTTTTAGATACCTCCATACTATTTTCCATAGTGGCTGCACCAATCTGCAATCCCACCAACAGTGCACGAGGGTTCCCTTTTTTCCACATCCTCACCAGCACTTGTTATTTGTTGATTTATTGATGATAGCCATTCTGACCGGAGTGAGGTGGTATCTCATTGTGGTTTTTATCTGCATTTCTCTGATGATTAGTGATGTTCAGCATATTTTCATGTTTGTTGGCCATCTGTATATCCTCTTTAGAGAAATGTCTCTTCATGTTCTCTGTCCATTTTTTAATTGGGTTGTTTATTTTTTTGGTGTTGAGTTGTATGAGTTTTTAATAACTTTTGGATATTAACCCCTTGTCAGATGTATCATTGGCAAATATCTTCTCCCATTCAGTAGGCTGCCTTTTTGTTTTACTGATGATTTCCTTTGCTGTGAAAAAACTTTTAAGTTTGATGTAATCCCATGTTTATTTTTTCTTTTACTTCCCTTGTCTGAGGGGATGTATCAGTAAAAATATTACTAAGAGTAATGCCTGCAAATTTACTTCCTATATTTTCTTCTAGGAGTTTTGTGGTTTTGGATCTTACATTTAAGTCTTTAATCCATTTTGAATTTATTCTTGTATATGGCATAAGGAGGTGGTCCAGCTTCATTTTTTTACATGTGTCCAGTTTTCCAAGCACTATTTATTCAATAGACTGTCTTTACCCCAATGTAAATTCTTGCTTCCATTGTCATAGATTAAATGACCATATAGGTATGGTTTTATTTCTGGGCTCTCTATTCTGTTCTGTTGATCTATGTGTCTGTTTTTATGCCAGTACCATGCTGTTTTGATTACTGTAGCCTTGTACTATGATTTGATGTCAAGTAGCTTGATACCTCCCACTTTGTTCTTATTTCTCAAGATTGCCATGGCTATTCAGGGTCTTTTCTGGTTCCATATAAATTTTAGGATCATATGTTCTAGTTCTGTGAAAAATGCCATTGGTAATTTACAAGGGATTGCGTTGAATCTATATATTGCCTTAGGTAGTATGAAAATTTTAACTATACTAATTCTTCCTATCCATGAGCATGGTGTTTCCATTTATTTGTATCTTCTTTAATTTCTCTCTTCAATCTCTTATAAATTTTCTGAGTAGATGTCTTTTACTTATTTGGTTAAATTTATTCCTAGGTATTTTATTGTTTTTGAAGCATTTGTAAATGGAATTGTTTTCTTAATTTCTCCTTCTGAGGATTTGTTATTGGTGCATACCAAGGGTTGGCAAACTGTGGCTCACAAGCCACATGCAGCTCTTTGGGTACGTTCCATCTCAAAAGTTTGCTGATCTCTGGAAGAGCCAATCCTGTCCCTCACAACAATTTAAAAATTATTCAAGAGCCATAAATATATTTTTACATACTATATTTCCCCATGTATAAGACACACTCTTTTTCGAAAAATTTGGGGTCTAAAAACTGGGAGTGTCTTATACAGTGGTTGTAGATGGTTGTCAAGTCATTTAAGAAGTGTGGCATTTCAAAGGCCATAGATGGAACTGAGGATGAGGCAATATATGAAGACAGTGATTTGTCATCAGACACAGATGAGGACAAGCTAATGGTTGGGAGTTTTGACAGTGATGAGGAGTTGTATGAATTTTATGATGAATAAGATTTGAGTTCAGTAACTTTATGTAATACATTTTTTTTCAAATTTCGGGCCCCCAAATTAAGATGTGTATTATAAATGGGGAAATATGGTAATCACCATTTTGTGAATAATAGCCTTTAAAAATTTTATAAATGAAATTTATATAATAGTTATATTTTCATTTTCAATTTTACTTCAGAGCCTGCAGCTCGCAAGCTGCAGTTTGCTGACCTCTGGCAGCTCTTCCATCTCAAAAGTTTGCCGACCCCTGGTATATACAAATGCAACTGATTTCTGAATATTAATTTTGTATCCTTCTACTTTACTAAATTCACTTATCCATTTTAATAGTTTTTTGGTTCAGTCTTTGGGATTTTCTATATATAATATCATGTCATCTGAATATAATGACAATTTTACTTCCTCCTTTACATTTTGGATGCCTTTTATTTCTTTTTCTTGTCTGATTGCCGTGGCTAGAATTTCTAGAACTTGTTGAATAAAAGTGGGCAACCTTGTCTTGTTCCTGATCATAAAGGGAATGGTTTTAGCCTTTCCCCATTGAGTACAATGTTTGCTGTGGGCTTGTCATATATGGCCTTTACTATGTTGAGATATGTTACCTCTATTCCCACTTTGCTAAAAGTTTTTATCATAAATGGCTGCTGGATTTTGTCAAATGCTTTTTCTGCATCTATTGATATGATCATATGATTTTTATCCTCCATTTTGTTAATTGGTATATCACATTAATTGATTTGCAGATATTGAACCAACCTTGCATACCAGGAATGAATCCCATTTGAGTGGTGTATGATCTTTTTAGTGTATTATTGAATTCGGTTTGCTAATATTTTGTTGAGGATTTTTGCATCTATGTTCATTAGAGATATCGGCCTATAGTTATCTTTTTTTGTAATGTCGTTGTCTGGTTTTGGGATCAGGGTGATAGTAGCCTAATAAAAAGAGTTTGGGCCTTTCCTCCTTCTGGATTTTTTGGAATAGTTTGAGGAGAATAAGTGATAATTCTTTTTTGAATGTTTGGTAAAATTCACTGTAAAGCCATCCTGTCCAGGGTTTTTGGTTGTTGGGAGCTTCTTGATTACTGATTTAATTTCACTGGTAGTAGTCAGTCTATTCAGATTTTCTGTTTCTTCTTGATTCAGACTGGAAGGTTATATGCTTCTAAAAAATTATCCATTTCTTCCAGATTGTCTAATTTGTTGGCATATACGTACTTGTAGTATTTCTTAAATTTTTTTGTTTTTCTGTGGTGTCTGTTGTCACTTCTCCTCTTTCATTTTTTTTTCAAGTTTCTTTTTTTTTTAATTAAAGTTTATTGGGGTGACAATGGTTAGTCAAGTTACATAGTTTTCAAGTGTACAATTCTGTAACATCATCTATATACCACATTGTGTGTTCACCACACAGAGACAGTTAGTTCTCCTTCCATCTGATTTTATTAATGAGTCCTCTTTGTGTCTTTCTTGATTAGTCTGGATGAAGGTTTGTCGATTTTATCTTTTCAAAAAGCCAACTCTTAGTTTCATTGATCTTTTGTATTGTTTTTGTGGTCTCTATTTCATTAGTTTTTTTGTATTTTGTTTTTGGAAGCATATACATTGTAGTGTTTCAAAAAGATTATCTTTTTGGATAGAATCTGATCTAAAATTTCATACTCTATATCACATAATAAGCATTTAAAGCATGTTCAATTTATAAAATCAAAGAAAAGGAAGGCATTTGGAAAGCCTCATTCAATTAAACCATACTTTGAAGTTAGAGTTTGGCCTCTAGTTTTTTTTTTTGTAGCAGATATTTGATATATTGTGGTCTTTGCTATATTGCATTTCAAAATGTTGTTTTCATCTTTCTTAGGAAAACGGGAAAGCATTTTCACAACTTCATTACTTGGCAAGACCTAAGAGCTATTGAACTTGTAAAATCTTGGAATACTTCTCTTACAATGAAGGTATTCTTTTTCTTCTCTGCAATTTGGATATTACTGTTTTTCCTGTAAATATCCCTTAACTATAGACTTAATTGTATAATCACCTAACTATGCTGTTTTTGGACATTAAGAAGAGAATAACCACATGAACACTCCCACACAATTGAAATTTAATTATAGTTACCCAAGAGCATATGTAATAGACTGAAGTACTTAACTACACTTCAAGAAGTCCTGAGGAGGTTTGGGGGTGGACCACAGATTCACATGTTAGTGAGAATTCATATTTCCATTCCTGAATATGGAAAAAATACAGACTATGCCCAGAAAATGTACAATAATGTCCACGTTTCATCAATTTCGGTATAAAAATGGAGAATATATATTGAGATAGATCAGGGGTTGGCAAACTTTTGAGATAGAAGAGCCGCCAGGGGTCAGCAAATTGTGGCTCACGAACCACATGCGGCTCTTTGGGTATATATATGTGGCTCTGAAGTAAAATAAAAAATGAAAATAAAACTATCATAGTTTCATTTATAAAATTTTTAACATAATGGTGATTATGTAAAAATATATTTATGGCTCTCAAATAATTTTTAAATTGTTGTGAGGGACAGGATTGGCTCTTCCAGGAGTTGGCAAACTTGAGATGGAACGTACCCAAAGAGCCACATGTGGCTCGCAAGCCGCAGTTTACCGACCCCTTAGATAGATAACTAACTGACCGCCACATGCTCTTAATAGGATGTCTGGCACATTGTAAGCAAATGACGATGGTGATGATGATGACAGTGACAACAGCTGCATCATCTCACTCCTTAGTGGGAGATTATTGAGTCAAAGGGTAAGACAATTTTCCGGCTCCTCAACTGGTGAAACGCAGTATTTGATGTTATAATCAATACTGCATATTTTAATACTTCTAATGACACATAGTTAAATGCCTTCTTAGCTAGGGCACGCGTACCAGTCGGTGCATGGGGGAGTGTCAGCAGCATCAGTTTTACTTGATAAATATTTGGAGATAGTAATTTTATATGAAAACAAACATGAATATGTTACAGACTATGACAACAGTGCACGAGTGAAATACTTTTGCCATAATCTCACACACACTGATTTTTCTTTTTTGTTCGTTTAATATGTAAAAATGCACCTTGCTTTAATAACTTGTGAAGCTGGGTACTGAGAGGTGCTGTTTCTCGGAAAGACACAGCAGTTAAGGGAATGGAAAGTAGTTGTAAGGAAAAATCATGAATCCCGAATGGGACAATTTTATTTTTTTATTTTATTTATTTTTTTAGCTGAGCCATCCTGCCACCTTTTGGCAGCTCAGCGGCAGCTCAGTTCAGGCCGTGAAGCAAACCAGGTTGAATGGGACAATTTTAAATTATGCTATTTATAATGTGTAATTTTTTTACCTTAATGTGTAATTTTAGTTTTTAATAGGTCAATATATCAAACATTTAAGTCACGACTAATTCCTTAAGTCAGCCAGTGAGATATTTTAAAACCTTTATTCCTTTGAAAATCAATTGTGACTCTGAAAATATTCACTTTTGTACTATAAGCCCCAAATCTCAAGTCATGACACAAAACTGTGACTTCAAGCACAAAGCTGAGCATGTCAAGCACTTTGTGCACTTGATATTGAATATCGACATGATGTAAGTTTTGGCTTCTCTTAGTATAAAATGCACACAGACTCTTAGCACACACAACCCCAGGGCCTGTCCTGCTAGTGAAAGGAACCCCACCCTGCAGTCTTCCCTTCCCAGATGTTTATAGTTTATTGATTGAGGCTCTCGGAAATGTTTAGGGTGTGTGTTTCTGAGCTGTCACCAAGGTCATTAGTTTAGCCAAGACTGGCCCCAAGCAGAATGATGAAGTGATTGGGCTGTGCTGGCTGTGTGGGCCACCATTTCTTCCTCTCCTCAGGCATCATGCTTCCTTTCCCTGTTGTTTTGATTCATGCCTACTGGTTGCTAAGGCTTCTCTTTGCTTTTAGCATAAAAATCTCTACTCTTTACCATGGTTTGGCTCTGTCTGTATCTCTGACCACTTCCCAGACCCCTTTCTCCCTGAAGCTGCTAAGGATTAGGCTCCAGCTTAGCCAGCCTGCTCTTATTCTTGTAACACCCAAGCCCTTTTGTCACCTTAAGGCCCTCTGCTATCATGGCTGGATCTTTGTCATTTTACAGGGCTCAGCTCTATGTTACCTCCTCTAGAAGCCCTTACCTGCCACCCTATTTAAAGTAGTCCCCCAACCTCCATCCAGTCTCTGTCTCACTGTCCTTTATTTCTTTCACAGCACTTATCAAATGTCAAAGATTCTGAAACACATCTTTTTAAATTGAATTTTAATTGAAATAATTGTAGTCACCTGCAGTTCTAAAAAAGAATACTGAGATCCCTTATATACGTTGTAGTTTCTCCCAATGATAACATTTCATAACACTACAGTGTAATGTTATAACCAAGATTTTGACATGAATATAATCCATAGATTTTATCCAGGTTTCCCCAGTTTTACTTGTGTGTGTGTGTGTGTGTGTGTGTGTGTGTGTATTCATTTCTATACAGCTCTTCATGTGTTCCTGTATCTAGCACCACAGTCAAGACACTGAACAGTTCCATCACTCAACAGCCCCTCATGCTGCTCTTTATAACCAAGCCATCTCTCTCCTGTTCATCTCCTCACCTGCTTCAATCCCCAGCTCCTTGCAACCACTAATCTGTCCTTCATTCAAAATTTTTCTTATTTAAAAGATGTGATATACACAGAATCATGCAGTATAAAACCTTCACTTAGTGCAATTCCCTGGAGAATCCATGTGGTTCCAGGCATCAATAGCGTGTTCCTTTTTATTGCTGAGCTGCTCAATAGTATAAATATCTTACCTGTTGGAGGACATCTGTGCTACCTCCAGTTTACAAATAAAGTTGTTATAAACAGAATTATGTGTGAATATAAAATTTCTTTTCTCTGGGATAAATACTCCAAGAGTGTAATTGCTATGACATATGGTAATTGCATGGCTTATAAGAAACTGCCAAACTGTTTTCCAGAATGGCTGTACCATATACATTCCCACCAGCAATGTATGAGTTATAAGACAAACATTTTTCTCATTTTAACATCTTTGAAATCAGGATGCATTTTGAACCATTAATTATATTTTAGCATTATGTCATAATTTAACTAACAGGATTTTTTTCTTTTTTGGTGGTACATTAAATAGCGATTCTTGTTACAATCATTGTCTTCTTAGATGATTTCATCTGTTGATTTGATTACTTATTTGTCTCTTTCCATTAGAATGTAAATTTAAGGAAGGCAGGGATTCTGCCTATAGTATTCACTGTTTTCTCAAGGCCTAGTGTAGTCCTTGGTACACAGAAGGAACACAATACTAAATATTTGTTAAACTTGTAAACAACAGGGCTAATTGTGAATATGTTGACTAAAAGTGCCAGCGTTAGAACTCTTAAAAGTTAAAAGAAAAATTTTTTATTAGTTTCATATGTACAAAACAATAAAATAGTTATACTTTTCACCCCTCACAAAGTGACAACCCCTCACCCCCAATCCACCACCCCCGCAACATCATACATATCTATTATAATTCCATTGACTCCACTCCCTACACTATACTCCACATCCCATGACTATATATATATATATATATATATAGTTGACATACAATATTATTCAGCTTCAGCTTCAGGTGTACAGTGCAGTGGTCAAGCCTCTACACTGTCCATGAAGTGGTCTCCCTAACAAGACATGTGTCCATCTGACACTCTACAAAATATTTACAACATTATTTTATATTCCCTAAACTGTCTTTCGTATCCCTGTGGCAATATTGTAGTTACCAATTTATGCTGTCTAATCCCGTCCCCTTCTCCCTCATCCATCTAGCAACCATCAGTTTTTCCTCTATATCTCTCAGACTATTTCTGTTTACTTTGCTCATTTATTCAGTTCTTTAGATTCCACATATAAGTGAGATCATATGGTATTTGTCTTTCTCTGACTGACTGACTTCACTTAGCATAATGTTCTCTAGGTCTATCTATATCATTGCAAATGATAAGATTTCATTCTTCTTTATATCTGAGTAATACTCCATTGTATAAATGTACCACAGTTTTTTTGTTTTTGTTTTTTTTCAGCTGAGCCATCCAGCCACCTGTTGGTAGCTCAGCAGCAGTTCAGCTCAGGCCGTGAATCGAACCAGTGACCCTGGGACTCAGAGCTCACACTCTTGAGTGAGCTCTTAACCAACTGAGCCACTTGGCCGCCCTATGTACCACAGTTTCTTAATCCGGTTGTCTACCGATGTATATTTTGGTTGTTTCCAAGTCTTGGCTATTGTAAATAGCACTGCAATAAACCTAGGGGTGCATATATTTTTCAACTTAGCGTCTTGGGTTTCTCTGGATAGGTACCTAAAAGTGGATTTGCTGGGTCATAAGCTAGTTACATTTCCAGTTTTTTGAGATACCTCTATACTGTTTTCCATAGTGGCTGCACCAATCTGCAGTCCCACCAACAGTGCACCAGGGTTCCTTTTTCTCCACAACTTCGCCAGCACTTATTGTTTGTTGATTTATTTATGATAGCCATTCTGACCGGAGTGAGGTGGTATCTCATTGTGGTTTATATTTGCATTTCTCTAATGATTAGTGAGCTTGGGCATGTTTTCATATGTGTGTTGGCCATCTGTATGTCCTCTTTAGAGAAATGTCTCTTCATATCTTCTGCCCATTTTTTAATTGGGTTGTTTGTTTTTTTGGTGTTGAATTGCATGAGTGTTTTATAAATTTTTGATATTAACCCTTTATCATATATATCATTGATAAATATCTTCATCCATTCAGTAGGCTGCCTTTTTGTTTTACTGATGATTTCCTTTGCTCTGAAAAAACTTTTAAGTTTGATGTAATCCCATATGTTTATTTTTTCTTTTGTTTCCCTTGTCCGAGGAGATATATCAGTAAAAATATTACTCCAGATAATGTCTGCAAATTTACTACCTATATTTTCTTCTAGGAGTTTTATGGTTTTAGGTCTTACATTTAAGTCTTTAAGCCATTTTGAATTTTTTCTCATATATGGCATAAGCTGGCCCAGTTTCATTTTTTTACATGTATCAGTCCAATTTTTCCAGCGCCATTTATTCAATAGACTGTCTTTACCCCAATGTAAATTCTTGCTTCCATTGTCATAGATTAAATGACCGTATATGGATGGGTTTATTTCTGGGCTCTCTATTCTGTTCCATTGATCTCTGTGTCTGTTTTTATGCCAGTACCATACTGTTTTGATTACTGTAGCCTTGTAATATGATTTGATGTTGATGATTAGCCTTGTAATATGATTTGGGTAGCATGATACCTCTCACTTTGTTCTTATTTCTCAAGATTGCCATGACTACTCAGGGTCTTTTCTGGCTCCATATAAATTTTACGATTATATGTTCTATTTCTGAGAAAAATGTCCTTGGTAGTTTGATAGGAATTGTGTTGAATCTATTTATTGCCTTAGGTAGTATTGACATTTTTAACTATATTAATTCTTTCTATCCATGAGCATGGTGTTTCCATTTATTTGTATCTTTTTTGATTTCTCTCTTCAGTGTCTTATAATTTTCTGAGTACAGGTCTTTTACTTATTTGGTTAAATTTATTTCTAGATATTTGTTGTTTTTGAAGCAATTGTTAGTGGGATTGATCTCTCGATTTCTTCTGATAGTTTATTATTGGTGTATACAAATGCAACTGATTTCTGAAGATTAATTTTGTATCCTGCTACTTTACTAAATTTATTTATCAGTTCTAATAATTTTTTGGTGGAGTCTTTGGGATTCTCTCTATATAGTATCATGTTATCTGCATATAATGACAATTTTACCTTGTCCTTTCCAATTTGGGTGCCTTTTATTTCATTTTCCTGTCTGATTGCTGTGGCCAGAACCTCCAGAACTATGTTGAATAGAAGTGGTGAAATTGGGCAGCCTTGTCTTGTTCCTGATCTTAAGGGGAAAGGTTTTAGCCTTTCTCCATTGAGTACAGTGTTAGCTGTGGGCTTATCATATATGACCTTTATTATGTTGAGATTTTATCCATCTATGCCCACTTTGCTAAGAGTTTTTATCATTCTTAATACTTTTTGTATAACCAATGCCTCTCCTCCTGAGGTATCTGCATTTTAACAGAAGATCCCTGAAGGATCCACATTCTAATTTTTTATAGAGAAAAGCATAGTGTGTTTAGGGAGGAAGAATGAATTTCAGTTTGAGGCATTTGTTAACATGTAATCAGGATTATGGGTGGCCCCATTTAGTACTTTTTGAAAGTCTTATATTTTAATAAATAATGTAAAATATAAAGAAATGCAGAAGGTTTGAGCACTGAACAGGTGAAATGAAGTTAAAGGGGTACAAACTTCCAGTTATAGAATGAATAATGTTAGACGATCTCATGTATAACATGATAACACTGTATTGTATAATTGAAATTTGCTAGGAGAGTGGAACTTTAAATGTTCTCACCAAAAAAAATAGGTTAAAAATTAAAATGAGGCTCATTGTTCAAAAGAAGTGACTGAAATGTAAATCTACTCATTTTCTTGATTAATGTGTTATGCTAAAAATGAAAGTAAAGTAAATTCATATTGCTGTTTTTAATGAATAAACCAAAATCTTTCAATTTCTTTTTGGGAGCGGGATGTGAAAGAATAGGAAAATGCAAGAAGTGAGTAAATTCTCTGTAAGTGAATGTTTTGTAAAACATGAGTTTCAGAAGTCGAATTGTCCATCTGAATCCTTGTAGTGGGTAGCAGAATAAGGCATTTTTTTTGTTTTGTTTTTAGTATGTCTTACAAACCTTAAAATTCAAACCTGGTTTTCTGTGTAAGACTTTTTTAAAGATTTTGCTTATTAAGAAGTAAAGTTTAAATTCTCTATGTTTCATCTTTGATCATTAGATAAGTATACATAGTATTAAAATCATACATCCAAAATTTTAAGTACTTAATATGTAGGAGAAATTTTTTCCTGGATTAATACTAACTTGATTAAAAATATGTTTCTAATAGAAGTATGGCCTTTTTCCTTGACTCTCTCCCTTCACTTCCATAGTTAAAAATAAGTAAAGAGGTAGAATATAGTTATTTTAAAAAGACTTTTATAAATACTTGAGCCTACTTCATTTTTGAGAACACTATTTATAAGTGTTAAATAACTTGCTTGTTATTGGGTTTGTTTGCGTGTGTATAGAATTAATATAGAAACATCAAACACCATTAAATGCATTTTCCTTAAATATTTTTTTAAATAGCTATTACACAGTTCCTGCCGAATGCTTCACTTTTTCACTAGAAGTAAACGATTTTTAGCAGCCAGTTTGTTCACTTTCACAACCCAGCATGTTTCTTTGAGATTGGCCTGGATTTTACAGAACCTGGTTGAGGTAAGAAAAGACTGTGTGTGTACATGTGTGCGTGTGCATTTGTGTGTGCATGCGCACAGAAAAACTATGGGAAATATTTCAGGAATAAGGATAGTAATTCGATTATTTAAGGAAAATTAAGTACTCACCACATATTGGACTGGAAGACAAGGAATCTTTACTCAGTTTATTTTTTTAAAACCTTTATATTGTGAATCAGGACACATACAGAAAAATGAACAAAGCAAAAATGTACCACTCAGTGATATATTGTGGAGCAATTATCTGTGTAACTCTACTTGAATGAAGAACTGGAACACTGGTACTGTATATCACATTTTCTTTGTGCTTTTACAATTTATATATTTCTTCTTCAACACTATACTTCAGTTTTGTCTGAAAGTTTTTGCACTTTAAATAAACAGAATCATACAGTGTTTATTCTTTTATATTTGACTCTTCTTGCTTACCATTATATGTGTGAAATATACGGATGTTGTGTGTAAATTAGTGTCCTCATATTTTTATTGCTATTTAGTGTGCAATATATGATTTTACCATAGTTTATTTATCCATTTATCTATTTTGTTCATGTACATTTGAGTTACTTCTAGTTTGGGGTTATACATTCTTCTTAAGTGCACATGGAGCATTCTCCAAGATAGACAATATGCTACACCATAATGCAAGCCTTAACAAATTTAAAAGCACTGAAATCATACGAAGTATTTCTCTTACCACAAAAGAATGAAATTAGAAATAAGTAACAGAAAGAAATTTGGGAAGTTCACAAATATGTGGAAATTAAACAATGCATTTTTTAAATCACCAATAGGTAAAAGAAGAAATCCCAAGAGAAGTTAGAAAATACTTTGAGATGAGTGAAAGTGAAAACAAAACATCCCAAAATGTGATGCAGCAAATGTGGTGTTTAAGGGAAATTTATAGCAAGATTTTATTGCGTATAGAGACTATATTTTTTTAAAAATCTAAAATTCTTAAAACTGGAAAAAGATGAGCAAGCTAAACCCAAGCAAGCAGAGGAAAGAAATATAAGGATTAGAATGAAAATTAATGAAATAAAGAATAGGAAAAGAGTTGAAAAAATTAACACAACCAAAAATTGGTTTAGAAAGATTAGCTAGACTGACAAAGAAAAAATAGAGAAAAAAACCAAATAACTAAAATTATGAATGAAAGAGAACATTAATTTCAATATCACAAATAAAAAGCATAATTAGGAAATAATATGAACAAGTGTCGTGTATGCCAACAAATTAGATAACTTAGATAAAATGGAAAATTTCCTAAAAATACAGAAACTACTGAAACTGTGTCAAGATATAGACAACATGAATAAACCTTGTCCAGTAAAAAAATTAGATTTTAATTTTTAGAGCATTTTTAGGTTTACAGAAACATTGAGCCAAAAGTACATAGAGTTCCCATCTACCAACCCCCCAGCAGTTTCTCCTGTTATTAGCATCTTGCATTAATGTGGTACCTTTGTTCCAATTGCTGAACCAAGATTGACACATTATTGTTAAGTATTACTAATGTAATGTATTTACCATTACAGTATCATACACAATAGTTTCACTGTCCTAAAAATACTCTGTGCTTCATTCATTCACCTCTCTGCCCTCACTCTTGAAACCCTGGCAACCGCTGATGTTTTTCTGTCTCTATAGTTTTGCCTTGTCCAGAATGTCATATTTTGGAATTATACAGTATATACCCCTTTTAAACTGGCTTCTTTCACTTAGCAATATGCATTAAAGATTTCTCTGTGTCTTTTTGTGGCTTGATAGCTCATTTTTTTTAATGACTGATTAGTATTTCATTGTCTGGATGTGTCACAGTTTGTTTATCCAGTCACCTATTGAAGGATACCTTGTTGCTTCCCATTTTTGACAATTATGAATAAAGCCACTATAAATGTTTGTGTACAGGTTTTGTTTGTATGCACATACATTTTCAATTCATTTAGGTAAAGACCTAGGTGTGTAATTGCTGGATCATATGGTAATAGTATGTTTAGTTTTGTAAGAAACTACAAAACTATCTTCCAAAGTGGCTGTACCATTTTGCATTCCCACTAACAATGAGTGAGAGTTCCTATTGCTCCACATCCTAGCTAACATGTGATGGTAGTACTTTTGGATTTTAGCCATTCTAATAGGTGTGAAGTAGTATCTCATTGGTTTAATTTGTAATTCCCTAATACCATGATGTAGAAATATGACTTTACTTTTCTTTGCATTGACAAGGACCTCTAGGATATATTGACTAGAAGGGATGAACACAAACATCCTTTTCTCATTCCTTATCTTGGAAAAAATAAAAAAGCTTTCAATGTTTCACAAGTTATTATGACTTTGTATTCAGTTTTCTTTAGATATCCTTCATCAAATTAAGGAAATTCTTCACTTTTCCTAGTTTGCTAAGACTTTTTATTTTGAATGGGTGCTGAACTTACCAAACACACTTTCTACACCTGTTGTCTAGGTGTGGCCACTACTCTGTACGGCATCTTGAATTCATTTCTTGATATCTTTTGTTGATTTTGAAAATTTCTCAGCCATTATCTTCAAATGTAATTTCTGCTCCATTCTCCTTATCTTACTCTCTTCTAAAAATCTAATTATATGTATATTAGACCTTTTCACTAAATTTCCTTTATCTCTCACTCTATCTTACATATTTTCCATTCTTTTGTCTCTATGTACTTTATTCTGGATAATTTCTTCTAACCTGCCTTCCAAATCCGTTATTCTCTTTTCAGTTTTTTCTGATGTCATGTTGAAACTCATCCATTAAGTTTTTAAATTATTTAGTTCTAGAAGTTTTTCTTTCACATAATAATCATGGTATTTTAAAGCCCATGACTATTAATTCCAGTATCTGTAGTCTCCACAGACTTTCTTTTTTTCTTTTTCATGTTCTCTTGTTTCCTCATATGCCTGGTTACTTAATTGGTTTTTAAAATTTTAAAACCAATTTATTGAGGTCTGATTGACATACAAAAAGGTGTACATACTTAATGTATACAACTTGATAAGTTTGGTGATCCTGGTTACTTATTTATATGTATGTATGTATGTATGTATGTATATAGATGAAATAGACATTGTATTTTCAAAATTGTATATGGAAATTATGAGTATCTTACTACTGTCTTGCTTTGGATAGGATTTATGTTTGTTTCTTTTATTCTTCTAAGCTCCAGGATTATCTCAATCCAATTTAATGATTGAGATGATTCAAAGCTGAGTTACAGTTCCTGTGGAGCCTGTTTTCTAGTTTACCCTTACTGTTAGGGTAGAAACATTTGGAGTCTTAACCCAATGCAAGAAGGATTGACCTTGGTCCTTGTACTTTAGGAAGCTTTGATATATACTGTATGTCCTCCTAGCCTTACAAGGGCCTACTACTTATCAGAGGGCCTGGTTCTCAAATATTTTTTGAGTGAACAAATGAACTTACTACCAGGCAGGTATTGTGTTACTCATTGAAATACAGATTAATCTTTGTCTAATCTGGAACAAATTTTAGAATCATAATTTCTAAATTTAAGAAGTGTTTGAATATAATAATATGACTTTAAGCACTCCATTATTTAAGTGGTATAACACTTAAATGGAGTCTTCAGAATACTTGTTATAAATAATCTGCAAATGACTTCTTTTTTTTGAACCCGTGTCATGCGTTTTCATTTTATTGATTCTTTTACTGTTAAAATACAGTTAATCCTTCAGTGTCTCCATTTTCTATTCTTTTTATATCAGTTATGTATTTATTAAGCATTTTTATTAACATATACTATATGCCAGGCACCCTCGTAGGTGTTGGGGTTATAAAAATGAATGCCCTTAAGGAGCCTTAGGGTCTAGTAGGGAAGTAATGATGCTGTGAAATAATGGCTATGTGGAAGATATCCACAGGGTTCTGGGTTGGACAAAGCCAGGAAATGTTAGTCTTGAAGGACAAATATGAGTTGGAGAGATGATAAAGTATGATTTAGGGAATTATTTTCCAGTGTGTTAATAATATCCTAACAAGCATTTCAGTTTCTCTATTAGCTAGTTTAAAGAGGTTTTGATGCTTTTGTTTCTTTTGGATGCTTTACACTAAGGATTGGTAAATTTTCTTCTGTAAATTGCCAGATTTTAGGCTTTGAAAACCGTAAGGTTTCTGTAACAACGACTCTGAAATTGTAGTGTGAAAGCAGGCATAGATAATACATAAACAAATAAGCATGGCTGTGTTCCAGTAAAACTTTATTTATGGACACTGAAATTTGAATTTCATATACTTTTCATGTGTCACAAAGTATTCTTATTCTTTTCCTTTTAACCAACAAAAAATTTAGAAACCATTCTTAGCTTGCTGTACAGAAAGAGACAATGGGCTAGATTTGACTTTTAGGCCATAGTGTGTCATCTCCTGTTTTAGACTATTTATATTTAGACATGTTTGTAAGTCTGAACTAAAAAATGTATATACTTTGTTTTTCATCACAAAAATAACATGTTTGGTTTAAAACAAAAGCATTTCATACCCTATAGTAATTGCTTAGAACCATTTGGGATATATTCTAGAAATTGTTTATTTATGTACATATATATTAGTTTTATCATACATGGGATTAAATTGTATTTACTGATCAGCACTTAATCGTGCACTTAATAATTTAGCCCTTTTGAACTGATTTTGTGCTGTTGTGTTTTCAAGGTGCAAAAGGCAATTGAAGAAGAAAATTGCTGCTTTGGGACTGTTGATACCTGGTTGTTATATAAACTCACAAAAGGTAAACATGATCTAATAGGTCTGTCTCAAGTAACTGAAATTTGACTGATAGAAATGATTTACCTAAAAATAGTAGAAGTTACTTTTTTGTTCCTTCCCATATCCCAGACATATTGCCCTTTGGTACCCTAGGAAATACACATTATAGTAAACCTAGATTAATTTGTTTTTTTGGAAGGGAGAGTAATTTTTAAACCGTGATGAAACCTCAAATATAAAACAGAGAAACTGGCTTAATTTCAAGACTACTAAAATTTGAGTTCAATACCAAATCTTGCACTTTGCAGCTGGGTATAACATTGCATCACTGGGAAGGAGGCAAGTCAACATGGTGGAATAGGTAAACACTGTCTGCAGCTACCCATGAGCACATTAAATTTACAACTAAATTATAGAACAATGAACCTCAAGAATCATCTTCACTAGCTAAAGAGTACCCCATAACTAAGGATATAAAGAAGAGGCCATATTGAGACTGGTAGGATGGGTGGAGATATGAAATGGGCTGACCCTAAACTTACAGGTAGTGGTTGAGTATCAAGATAGACACCTCAGCAACAGAGGTCCTCCCGAAGAAAGAGGATCCCAGCCCCACACCAGGATCCCCAGCCCAAGGGTCCTGTGTTGGGAGAAGAGTCTGCATAACATCTGGCTGTGAAACTCAGTGGTGATTCCATCCTGCTAGAGGAGATGGAAAGTGGCTGGAAACTCAGATACCCTCTTAAAGGGCCCACACACAGACTTACTCACTTGCAAGCACTCACCCTGGGCTCAGGCAGAGGGGTAGCAACTTGAGAGGTGGCAGAGATGTCTCTGCACAGACAAGGAAAGACAATTGTGTGGCTTCATGGCAAGGGCTAGAGGGACAGCTGCCATTATTCCTGTGTGGAGCTGGCCTCACATATAGCCTACAGGTGGGCACCAACTTTGCTGTGTTGAGCCTTCCCCCACGGCCAAATCTGAGACCTCATTGGCCCGGTGAGCTCAGTGTGCACCGCACCCTGATGACTCCTTGGGATCCCATCTGCCTGGTACAGCATAGCCAGGTTCACTCTCAGCTCCTGGGTGGCCAGCCTTGCCTCAAAAGCTGCAAGACGCTTTTACAGCAGTGGACAGCCCACAGTGGCCTGGAAAATATTCAGTGGTGGGCAGTCAGACCCAGCTTGCTCTGCATCCTTTCTTGGGTGGCTCTTGGGGACCTGCGGGCCCAAGAGCTTCCCAGACAAGAAAAAGCAAAAGGAATTAAGTACCAACAAGCCATTATTACAAGGGATGTTAAAAGGAGTTCTTTAAGAATAAGGACGAAAACAAACAAACAAAGATAAAAATTGTGAATAATAAAATGACAATAGCTATATACCTATCAATAGCCACTTCTAATGATGCATTAAATGCTCCAATCAGAAGACAGGGTAGCTGAATGGATAAGAAAACAAGAGCCATACATATGCTGCCTACAAAAGACCCACCTCAGATTGAAAGACACACAGACTGAAAGTAAAGGGATGGAAAAAGATATTTCATGCAAATGGAAATGAAATAAAGCTGGGGTAGCGATACTTATATCAGACAAAAAAGACTTTAAAATAAAGACTATAATAAGAGACACAGAAGGACATTCCATAATGATAAAGGGATCAATCCAACAAGAGGGCATAACTCTAGTAAACATCTATGCATTAAACATAAGAGAACTAAAATATATAAAACAAATATTGACTGACATAAAGGGAGAGCTCGACAGTAAGACAATAATAGGGGACTTTAACACCCCATTGGCATCAGTGAATACATCATTCCGGCAAAAAATCAACAAGGAAACAGTGGCCTTAAATGATACACTGGACCAGGTAGATTTAATTGATATTTTTAGAGTATTTCACCCCAAAGTAGCAGAATGTACATTCTTTTCAATGCATATGGAACATTTTCCAAGATACACCACGTATTAGGCTACAAAACAAGTCTCAATAAATTCAAGACAATTGAAATCATATAAAGCACCCCCTTTGATTGTAACAGTATGAAACTAGAAATCAGTTACCAAAACAAAAATCCTAAAACAATACACAAACACATGTGGCTAAATAACATGCTACTAAACAATGAATGGGTTAACAATGAGATCAAGGAAGAAATCAAAAGCTACCTCAGACAAATGAAAATGCAAAAACAATGACCCAAAATCAGTGGGACACAATGAAAGCAGTCCTCAGAGGGTAATTCATACCAATACAGACCTACCTCAAGAAACGTTGTTACCAGAGGGTAAGGGAGAAGGGGGGTGGTAGATGAGGGTAAATGTGGTGATGGAAGAACTGACTGGGTGGTGAACACAAAATGTGATGTACAGATGATGTATTACAGAATTGCACACTTGAAACCTATGTAACTTTACCAACCATTTTCACCCCAATAAACTTCAATTAAAAAAAAGAAAGAAACAAGAAAAATCTAAAGTAAGCAATCTAACTTTACACTTAAGGGAACTGGAAAAAGAACAGCAAACAAAGCCCAAAGTGAGTAGAAGGAAGGAGATAATAAAGACTAGAGTGGAAATAAAATAGAGGTTAAAAAAACAATACAAAAGATCAAGGAAACCAAGAGCTGGTCCTTTGAAAAGATAAAATTGATAAACCTTTAACCAGACTTATCAAGAAAAAGAGAGGACCCAAATAAATAAAATCAGAATGAAAGAGGAGACGTGACAATGGACACCACCGAAATACAAACCACTTTAAGAAAATACTATGAGTAATTTTATGCCAACAAATTGGACAATCTGGAAGAAATGGATAAATTCCTAGAAACATAAATCTTCCAAGGCTGAACCAAGAAAAAACTCTGAACAGACCAATTACAACTAATGAAATCGAATCAATAATCAATAGGCTCCTGACAAACAAAATCATGGACCAGGTGGCTACACAGGTTAGTTTTGCCAAACATTCAAAGTATTAACACCTAGTCTTCTCAAACTACTCATATTCCAGAAACTTCAAGAAGAGATAAGACTCTCACGCTCATTTTATGAGGCCACCATTACCCTGAATCTAAAACCCGACAAAGACATTACAAAAAACAAACAAACAAAAAACTATAGGCAACATCCCTGATGAACATAAATGCAAAAATCTTCAACAAAATATTAGCAAATCGAATTCAGCAATACATTAAAAAGATTATACATTATGCTTAAGTAGGATTTATTCCTAGTATGCAAGGTTGGTTCAATATCTGCAAATCAATTCACATGCTACATCACGTAAACAAAATGGAGGATAAAAATTATATGATCATATCAATAGATGCAAAAAAAGCGTTTGACAAAATCCAGCATCCATTTATGATAAAAACTCTTAGCAAAGTGGGAATAGAGGGAACCTATCTCAACATAATAAAGGCCATATATGACAAACTCACAGCTAACATCTTACTAAATGGAGAAACGCTAAAAGCATTTCGCTTTAAGATCAGGAACAAGACAAGGATGTCCACCTTTACCATAGTACATTATTCAACATAGTACTGGAATAGCCACAGCAATCAGATACAAAAAATAATTAAAAGACATCCAAGTGGGAAAGAAAGAAGTAAAACTGTCATTATTTGCGGATACATGATACATATAGAGAACCCCAAAGATTCCACCAAAATACTATTAGAACTGATAAATGAATTCAGTAAGGTAGCTGGATATAAAGTTAATATTCGGAAATTGGTTACATATTTAAACACCAATAACAAGCTATCAGAGAAATTCAGAAAAAAATCCTATTTACAATCGCATTAAAAAAACACCTTGTAATAATTTTAACTAAGGAAGTAAAAGACCTATTCTTGCAAAACTATAAGACACTGCAGAAAGAAACTGAAGAAGATACAAATAAATAGAAGCTGATATCATGCTCATGAATAGGAAGAATTAATATAGTTAAAGTGTCCATGCTACCTAAAGCAATCTATAGATTCAATCCAATCCTGATGAAAATACCAATGGCATTTTTCACAGAACTAGAACAAATGATCCTAACATTTATATGAAACCATAAAAGACCCTGAAAAACCACAGCATTCTTGAGAAAGAAGAACAAAGTTGGAGGTACCTGATATCAAACTATACTATAAGGCCATAGAAATCAAAACAGCATGGTCCTGGCATTAAAACAGACACATAGATCAATGGAACAGAATAGAGAGCCCAGAAATAAACTCACATCTATATGGCCATTTAATCTATGACAAAGGAGGCTACAATATACATTGGTGTAAAGACAGCCTATTCAATAAACGGGGCTGGAAAAACTGGACAGATCCATGCAAAAACATGAAACTGTACCACCTTCTTATTCATTTGAGAATAAACTCAAAATGAATTAAAGACTTAAATGTAAGACCTGAAACCATGAAACTCCTTGAAGAAAACATAAGCTGTAAACTGTTATATATTACCCGTAGAATATTTTCACTGATATATCTCCTCAGACAAGGGAAACAAAAGAAAAATAATTACATGGAACTACATCAAACTAAAAAGTTTTTGCACAGCAAAGGAAACTATTAACAAGACAGAAAGATAACCTACTGAATGGGAGAAGATGTTCTCCAATGATTTACCTGATAAGGGGTTAGTATCCAAAATCTATTAAAAAACTCATACAACTCAACAACAGAAAAACGAACAATCCAATTAACAAATGGGCAGAGGACCTTAATAGACATTTCTCCAAAGAGGTCATACAGGTGACCAATAGACATATGAAAAGATACTCAACATCACTAATCATCAGAGAAATGCAAATTAAAACCACAATGAGATATCATCTCACGCCTGTCATCAATAAACCAACAAACAACAAGTGTTGATGAGTATGTGGAGAAAAGGAAACCCTGTGCACTGTTGGTGGGATTGTAAATTGGTACAAACATTATGGAAAACAGTATGAAACTTCCTCAAAAAATTAAAAATAGAACTAACTTATGACCCAGCAATTCCACTTCTGGGTATTTATCCAAAGAAATCCAGAACACTAATTTGAAAAGTGGTCTGACAAATAAGTTTGTGAACTCATCCTAGAAAAAGTGCTACATACCTCATTGCTGAATATCACTATGGTCGCCTTCGAAGTACTCCCCTTGGGAAGCTATGCACCCGATGCTAGTGCCTACTCCACCTTTCAAAGCAATCTTGGAACTCTTTTTCTGGAATGGCGGTCAGAGCTGTCATCGTATTACCCTTGATGTCCTGAATGTCATCAAAATGTCTTCTTTTCAATATTTCCTTTATCTTTGGGTAAAGAAGGAAGTCATTGGGGGCCAGATCAGGAGAGTAGGAAGATGCTCAATATAGTTATTTGTTTACTGGCTAAAAACTCCGTCACAGACAGTGCCGTGCATTGTTGTAATGCAAAAGCCATGAATTGTTGGCGAAAAGTTCAGGTCATCTAACTTTTTCACGCAGCCTTTTCAGCACTTCCAAATAGTGAACTTGGTTAACTGTTTGTCCAGTTGGTACAAATTAATAATGATCCCTCTGATACCAAAAAAAGTTAACAACATCATTGCAACAAAGTTCACGAACTTAATTGTCAGACCTGGTATGCACCTCTACGTTCATTGCAGCACTATTTACAATAGCAAGGTATGGAAGCAAAGGAAATGCCCATCGATAGACTATTGCATAGAGAAATTTTGGTACATATGTATAATACAATGGAGTGTTACTCTGTCATAAAAAAAGAATGAAATCTTACCATTTGTAATAACCTTAATGGACCTTGATGGTATTATGCTAAGTGAAATAAGTCAGACTGAGAAAGACAAATATCATATGATCTCATTGATACATGGAATGTAAAGAACAAAATAAACAAAAAAGAAACAGACTCATAGATACAGAGAACAAACTGATGGTTGCTAGATGGGAGGGGAATTAGGCGGCCTCATGAGAAAGATGAAGTGATTAAGTAGTACAAATTGGTAGTTACAAAATAGTAAAGTAGAGTATGGGGAATCTAGTCAATGATATGGTAATAACTATATATAGTGTCAGATGGGTACTAGACAGGGATCACATCATAAATTACATAAATGTGTAACCACTATGCTATACTCCTGGAAATAATATAAAATAATTGAATGTCAACTATAATTGAAAAAAATAGTCATGGGGATGTAAAGTACAGCACAGGGAATATAGTCAATAATATTGTAATTATGTACAATGTCAGATATGTAATAGACTTATTGAGATTATCACCTTGTGAGGTAGATAATTGTCTAATCACTGTTGTTTTGTACACCTGAAACTAATGTAATATGGTATGTCAATGTTAATTGAAAATAAATTTTTTAAAATATCTCACTTTTACAGTTGTAATCAAAGCATATATTTAAATTAATATTTCTGTGCTGTTATTTATATATAAATCTTTACTATCTCCATTTAAAAATTGCATCATCTTTAAACTGACAATCATGATGTGACAATGTATATGAAAGTGCTTTTGTAAGTTATAAAAGTCATAAAGATTAAGTGGGAAATTGCTTTGGAGACTTTGCATTGGGAATGTACATATTGGAATGAATTTGCAGGCCAGAAAGTTCTAGATTATAAACTAGGGATACGTCTTTATTTACACTACCTGAAAATAAATACATCATTTCCAATGTAAATTTAGGTTCTGAATTTGCCACGGACTTTTCAAATGCCAGTACAACTGGACTTTTTGACCCATATGAGGTAAAGTTTTCTTTCCTCCATTTTGAATCATCAATTTTTGAGTAACTTAATTGAGATTCTGATGATATATTTCTATGCTCAGATGTGTTGGAGCACGCTCATTACCTCTCTGCTGTCAATACCACTCTCTCTTCTGCCTCCTGTGAGGGATACCAGGTAATAACAAACACTGGACATACAATAGAAACCAGCAAAATTGTCCCTGAATTCATTTTGCTTTGGTGGGGAGAAAGCATTTTATTACATGTTTGAGGTACCTTTATGAACATATGTTATGTAACTTTTTAGCCAATGCTAAAAACAATTTGCTGAATTTTAGAATTAATATTTCTAGAACTATAACTTACTTTTAAATCAATTTTATTTGAAGCTACAATTTCGGATCAGTGGATGAAGAGATATTTGGTACGCCTATACCAATAATGGCCTTGGTAAGTAGAAAATTGGAGGGTTTATCCTTGTGTAGTATAAAGTAAATGAGTATATATAGATATTTGAAGTTAGATATAAGAGACACAAAATGTCCTTGCAGAATAAAAGTAAAGTATCTTTCCTTCTTTTTAAGTTAAAGCACCCTGGATATAATTAGACACATTCTCTATATTCTGGAAAGGGGATATTCTGGGCCAGTCTTCCTTCATGGGAGCACTTTATAACCTTTTCTGACTTCTCTATGTATTGTTTTTCAGAAAACTTAAATTTTTTGAAAAATGTATTCTGAGTAATGTTTTTTATATTTGATGCTCTGAGATAAAAACAAAAAACAAAAACAAAACAGTAATAGAGCCAATGCTTAGTTTAAATTTGATAAAATGTAACTATAAACAATGATAGGGCAGATAAAGAAGTAAATTGTATTTATATTTTATAAATTCTTAGCCAGCATCTACCAGTACAGAAGCTCCTGGAAGAGTGAAAAATTAGCTGTTTTTTATTTATGAGGGTACTTTGATTACACTCTCTCTGTGGCTGGATGAGAGAGTCAAAACTTGGAGAATCCCAAAGATTTACCACCTGACTGAGAGGCTGTGTAGACCTTGCCTTTGACTTCCTGTAACAGTGTAATCAGGAGGTATAGACCAATATGTCCCTAGATGGACAGTCGATGCAGTAGGTGGAGGAACAAGGTGAGGAGAGGGAATTTAATTCCCAAATTAACAGATTCCTGGTCATTTAGAGAGTATCAGTCTTATTCAATCTAGGGGTAGGCTCAGGTTTAGATTAAGGTATGGCTGGAAGAATTATTGATTACTGAGGAAGGGTTCTTCAGATGAGTTTTGGTCCTTAAAATACTGATGAATGGGTATCTACACTTAACTATATTAACAACATGTTATTATTTTTATTTTAACAGAAATGTATAGTTGGGAGATGTATGGTTTTGCAGTATATCTATTTATAGTTAAGCATACAAATGTCACTCTTATTAAAAGAGAAATTTGTGAGGTCAGTTATTTTGACTACTGAATGAAACCACTTGTAAGATGTAAACAAAAAATCTTGGTTTATTTTCTGCATGATTTTTATTCTGACCTTTATTTCTAAGATTAACCCTATGATACTTAAAACTCATGAAGTAGGTTAGCCTTAGAGAGACTCTTATCCTATAGTTGTTGCTCCCTGTCCTCTCCCAAGATTTTTTTTAAGGAAAATGAAAAAAGAGAAGAAAACATTGAACCATGAGAATTAAGCGAGACAGTGGGATACAGTGAAATGGGCCACTGCTCAGGGCCCAAAGATCTTACCTGTGAACATGATTGGCAGGTCGCGGACCAGCAGTCAGCCATGTTTGGAGAGTGCTGCTTCCAGACAGGAGATGTGAAATTAACCATGGGAACTGGAACATTTTTGGATATTAATACTGGAAATAACCCTCAACAGAGTGTTGGAGGTAAATAGTTAGAATTTATCCTGTTTATTAATAAAATATCACCTTTTGCATGTTTAACTTTCATGATACTATTTTCCCATTTTACATATTTTTCATTATTCTTAGAGACAATTAATTCCCATTTCCCTTTTGTCTTTAAATTAAAAGCATAGAAAATGAGAGAGATATAATGGAAAAATTCAGAAGGATTAGGGTATTTTTGTTATCTTTTCAAAAATGTACCTATCATGAATTGACTTTAGGTAGTTTTTTATTTTTATGTATGTATGTATGTATGCATGTGTTTATTTATTTAAAATTGGTTTCGGGTGTACAACACAGTGCAATGGTTGTACTTTTAACCCCTCAAAGTGGACTTTAGGTAGTTTTAAACTAATTCTCTCAGGATCTTGCCTATTTCATTCCAAAATGTAGGTTTGAAAAGTATTATGGACTGAATTGCATCTCCCGGAATCTGTAGGTTGAAACTCTAACCCCCAATGTGACTTTATTTGGAGATAGGGCTTTTAAGGCAGTAATTAATATTAAATTAGGTCATAAGGATGGTTCCTGATCCAATGGGATTGGTGTCCTTATAAGAAGAAGAAGAGATACCGGAGTGAGCACATACAGGAGAAAGGCCATGTGAGGTCACACAGAAAATGTGGCCATCTGCATGTTAAGGAGAGGGGTCTCACCACAAACCAACACTGTTGATCTTGGACTTCCAGCCTCAATAACTATGAGAAAATTAAATTTCTGTTCTGTTGTTTAAGCCACTGTGGTATTTTGTTATGGCAGCCTTCTACTTAGTAATAAAAAGAGAGCCTATAATTGACAGAAAATTTAAAAAAAAATGTACCTATCATACATGTTGTGTGTGTTTAAGACATCTTGCTAGGCCTCTAAAATTTCTTTAATGTGTTAGAAATTATTCCTCTTTTTGTGAATTTTTTTGAGGTGATCTCAACTAGTGATCCATGCTTATTTAGGGTTTAATGACAACTGCTGAGAATTTGTTCTCCCTAGTGGGGGAAATCCTGGGACTTCCAAACCAAGAAATCCAGATGATGTAACTACGCCCAGGATGGCGGGGGGCTCTTAGTCTGGTCCCCTAACATGGTCTCTAAGAGGTGGACTTGAAAATCTTTTTCCTGCCCTCCATCCCCACTAAAGCTTTTCCCCTAACTGGGAAAATGGAAGCTAGAAAATGTTGATCATTACATTAGGTTATTTCTGTTTAGGAGCCTTGTTCAGAAATCACAGAGAAATGCAATATATAAGATAGTTCTCAAGCAAACCAATCTCATGATAACCTTTTATTTCTCAATTAAAATATCATTTTTGTGTTTTGAGAGACATAGATATACCTACAGCTAATAGAAGCTAATGTTTATGTTCATATTGTATTCCAGGCACTGTGCTAGGTTCTTTTTATGTATTAACTCAGTTTATTCTCACAAGAGCTCTCTGAGGTAGACCATTTTACAGTCGAGGATACTGAGGCTAAGAGATTAGAAACTTGTAAGACCACAGCTAGTAAATGAGAGAAGACTGGGATTTGACCCCAGGAATTCTGACTTCAGAGCCACTTTGTTAATTTTTTGTAGACACCTCTGCAGTGAATTATATTATATGACTTACATTGTTTTTTTTGGTTTTTTTTTTAAAGGCTTTTATCCATTAATTGGGTGGAAGATTGGGCAAGAGGTTGTATGCTTAGCTGAAGGCAATGCAGGAGACACGGGCACTGCCATAAAATGGGCTCAACAGTTAGGTAAGTCATCTTTTACCAGATTTCAAAGGCCAAGCTTAAAGAATTCAAGAATGCCACAGAGTTGCAGATCAGTAGAGAATGAATGGATTGTTCAAATGAAACATAAAATAAAATGACATGTGCTAGAAGAAAATGTAGGATGTTATTTTTATAATATTGGGATGGTAAAAGGCCAGGTGTTAAGGCCAGACACCATAAAGAATAATGGACTTAAGTATAGAAACTATTAGAATAGATAGGAAGAGTGATGCTATAAGCAAAGTTAAAAGACAAATTGGTGAGAACGATTTGTAGCATATGTCAGAAAAATTAATAAAGATAACAAAAAAATGGACAAAAGACAGAAGTATAGGTATTTCATAAGTCAAATGACTTGAAAAATGCTGTTCAAATTCAATAATTAAAGAAATACACATATAAAATTTATGTCACTTATCATTGTCAGAGCTTAACATATGTTCAACATTGGTGAGAATGTAGAGAAAAAAATATTATTGTTTTCCATGGGGATGAATGTTAATTAGTCTGGCCTTTCTGGAGGAAAACCAGGTAATATGTGTCATTTTATAGTGTGTGGACCCTTTGCCCACAGTTCTATTTTTTGTTTCCTAAGAAAGCAATCAGACAAGTGTGGAAAGATGTGTACACACTGGGGTGTTTAATACAGCAATTGGAAATAAGGCCCTATCTAATATTAAAGCATTAAATAAGTGAATGTCAGTGTGTCTCTAGAGTGGGACATTGTGCAACCACAAATAACACTGTAGTTGTATATCTTATTGACATGGAATATTGTCTACTATACATTAAAGAGGGGATGAAGCATTTGCCCGTGTAAATACTTTGCACTTTAAAAAAAATAGCTTTATTGAGATATAATTCACATACCATATGATTCACCTATTTAAAGTGTATAATCAACTTTTTAAAGTATTTTCACGGGGTTGTACAACCATCACCACAATCACACTTGAGAATATTTTTGTTCCCCCAAAAGAAACCGTCATACCTACTCACTATTGGCAGTGACTCCCTGTTTCACCCCCCAGCCCTAAGCTACCATTAATCTATTTTCTGTCTTTGTGGATTTGCCTGTTCTGGACATTTCATATGGTTGGAATCATATAATATGTGGTATTTTGTAACTGGCTTCTCTCTTTCAGCATAATCTTTTCAAGGTTCATTTATGTTGTAGCAGGTGACAGTACTTCATTTCTTTTTATGGCTGAGTAATATTCCATTGTATGGAAGGATCACAATCTATTTACCTAGTTATCAGTTGATGGACATTTGCGTTTCCTCCTTTTGGCTACTGTACATAATGACCAGCCTGCATATTATATAACCATGTTTTATGCATAAAATATGAAATGTTACATACCACAGTATTAACAGTAGTTATCTCTGACAAGTAAATTTTGGAGCAAGCTCTGACTTTCTACTTTGCTGATTTGAACTAAGCTAATATGTTTAAAGAAAAAGCTAATTCTATCAGCAGAAAACATTCACTCTAGGAGGAATATGTCAATTCCTTTCTTCCTTTCACTCTCTTTGTCTGTAAGCCTTCACCTGCATGATAAGCATAAGATTACTTATTAGCAAGAAAATGTTTATCTCAAAGCTTTTTATTACTTAAAATACTTCTCCTTTAATGGACTTCTTTTAATTTTTTGGACATGTATCTTTAGATAACTCCAGATGATCAGAAATAGAAACTATATGTTTATATATGAGTAGTTCTTCTCTCCTAGTTATACCTTTCATTACTTTTGCACCTTCCCAGAAGATTCAAAAAAAGAACAGAATAATTTCATATTCATCGTTAAGTAAAAATCACCCCCAAGTTGTATGTGCATATGTCCATGAGAATCATTTTCACTGTCCAGCTGGGTTGAGGCTCATCTGTTGTGATTTTTAAGTGATGAAAACTCTTTCCTGAGCGATGTAGCTAAAGGACCCTGACCTAAAAAAAGTGATGTGATTTCTGGGAGAGACACAAGCCCCTCCTGAAGGCTTTTCCCATCTCTGGCAGGAAAGCAGGACTGATGGTCCAACTGGAGGAAGAGAGAATTCAGAGTTGAATTATTTACTTTGAAATTTCAATGATCACCTTAGCTAAACATTACTGGTATGTATCTGCCTGAAATTCATACAAAAAGTTGACATTTATTTGAATATATCTCTTTCTATTCTGAGAATTCACTTTAATGGGTGCATCGAAAAAAAGAACTCCATTATTCAGGAGAAACAGCATATAGGAGCCTGAATAACCCTGTCATTTTCTTGAAGGTGTGTAATCCAAGCTTTTATATCTTTGTATGACATGCTAGACTTGTTCCATTCTGAATGGTGCTGCCTTCTGTGTCTTTAATGAGTTGCACAACTCAGGCTCAGGAGTAAAAGCTGTTTTAAACCAATTTCATCTTGATTTTTAGATTTATTTTCTTAATCTTTTCACACAGGCCAGTTCTCTCTCACTTCTTTTTTTTTTAGCCTCCTATGTTAACATTTGGGGCCACATTTGGGTCCCTACATAATCATCTCTTTTCTTTTTAATTTGGTCCATTTCTGCTTCCCTTTACTCTTTGTTCTATTTTGCTATCTCAGTCTTAAAACTATTTTTATGTCTTCCAGCTTGTATTCAGTTAACAAGTAATTGGGTGCTTAGTATGTGCCTGGAATGTACATGCGTGGAGAACACCAGGAATAATACAGATAGTTCCTGCCCTCATGGAGGTCATAGTCTAGCAGGAAAGACATATGTTAAATGAACAATTGAAAAAAAACCTACTGTTATATACAGGGAAGGACAAATCGTTGTGGGATCAGTGATCTCTTTAAAGGGAGAGAGCTTTGTCTAACTGGAGAATCCAAAGGTTTCTTTAAAAAAGCAATGTTTCAGCTGAGCCCTGAAGGAAGAATAAGAGTGATTGAGCAGGTTGGGAGAGGGAGCTGGTCAGGGAGCAGTCCACGCGGAGAGGACCAGGGAGGAAGGCCCCAGTGTGACCTGTGTAAGGCTCTGAAAGAATGTCCCATTTCTTCTCTATAAGAGAAGGAGTTCCCACCTCTGCCTTCCTCCAGTAACATGAATCAAGGGACATCTTTTCCCTAGTAGTGCCACTTTTAATTGCTACGTGTCACATCTGCCTACGCCAGGCAATCCCCATAAGACACATTTAAAATTACCCAGGACTCTTGTTTACTGGTTCCTTGTCTCTGGGTATCTTCCCAAGAGAGATACAGCCTCCCTCATTAGAGGAGATAAACATGTTCTCAAATATGAACTAATTCTAGGTGGTGGTGAATCGTTATGTTACTGCTAGTGAGTAGGGCTTAGTTCATGGCCCTGCCTCACCCCTCTTGCTTCCTGCTGGGATGACAAACAGCAAGATGAGTAAGGCTTACTGCTGCAGCTGGAGCAGAGCCCAAAGAGAGGCCATGGCAGCCTTGAGTTCTCAGGTGCACTGTGCAAGCCTGGGGTCTATAGATGGCGCCACCTAGTGTTAGCGATGAAAATACTGGAGTCCTTGAGGACCCTCTAGATGTGCTCTATGCATCAGATGTGCTCTATGCATTTAGCCTCCAGAGCTGAGAGAGAACCCCCTCAACATGTGGAGAGGAAGGAGCTGGCCTGGCCTATTTCTGGGAGAGCTGCTAACAGCGGACCTCACTACTGTTCCATCTAAACGCCACTTCTTCCAGGCTGATGGGCGATGTCTAATCTTTCTCATACTTTGAGAAACCCGAAAGCCAAGGGCGTTCACTGCCTTACCTCTCACTGCCTGCCAACCCCATAAACCTGACCTGAAGGAGAACACAGAGTATTTAGGAGCATACAGCACCCTGAAGGAGGGGACCAAGTTCAGTGAAACACAGCAGGTGGCTCCTACAGTTAGATGTAATAGAAGAAACAAAAGATTAAAATAACATCAACTAAACTGAAACATAAAGGAACAAAAGAAAAGACTGCAAAGAAATGTTTGGAAAACATGAGTTTCAAAGAACAAAAACCATGATATTATAAAATGTTAAAAAACTTAATAGGGCCAGCCGAGTGGCGCGATGGTTAAGAACTGGCTTGGGACGCCAAGGGCCCCGGTTCGGATCCCACATATGAGGGCCAGTGACACTGCCCTCCACAGCTAAGATACTGAACAGCAGCTCAACCTGGAGCTAGGCTGCTGTGAGTCGCCAGAGACGGCGTAGGCTGCAGCCCCTGTGGCAGTGGGTTGCCATGGGCTACCGTATGTAGCCAGCAGCCGCAGTGAGCGGCCAGCAGCCGCAGTGAGCGGCCAGCAGCCGCAGTGAGCAGCTGACCAGAAGCCGGAGACTGATCTGCCTCGCCCGGGAAGAGCGCAATGATGGTGCCAACTTGGGCCAGTGAAGCAACGTCCTCCACAACTAGACTGAAGAACAAAAGGACAGCAACTTGTCTGTTCCTCTTCCCCCAATTCCCCAGCACTGTTCCCATCCCCCCCAATTCCCCAATAAAAATCTTAAAAAAAAAATTAATGAAACTGAATAATGAAACTGAAAAAATTAATAAAATTGACAGTGCTGAAAACCCAAATAGGAATCAGGGAGATTTTAAAAAGAAAAAAAAAACTCTGAAAGGTAAGGGATTTAGAGGAGAAATCAGAGAAAAAAATGTGTGCATAATAGCCTCTTTTCTGGAATATGAAAATACAGTTATGGAAGTGGAATTATGAGAATGTAAAATACTCAACAATTGGTACACTATGTATGTTTCACTGTGTATATGTATATACAGATATATAGCGAGAAGCAAAAATGAGAACTGATTTAACTTTTTATTTTGAAATAATTTCAAACTTGAATTTGTAAGAATAGTACAAAACTCTTGTACATCCTTTACCTCAGATTTGCCAATTTTTAATTTTGCCATTATTGCTGTATCTATCTATGTACTTACCTATCATCCATCCCTTCATTCATCCATTCATCAATCTATATATTCTGTATGCTATAGGATAGATAAA